ACATTTTCAAATTGGCGATAGGATTAGAATTTATAGGGAACAAAATACCCAGAACAGTTTGATTATTAATGGCATTAATGCTAATACAAACAAATTCGTAAATATTCTCAGTTTTAAAACTGATCCCTTTATTGAAACATCTAATAAAACTATTTTCTATTAATATGTATAATATTGTAACATTTAAAACTATCTATGTAAATTATTGCTAACTATTATTTTCATTATAATAATAAAATTTGTTTACTTATTTTTAAAAATGTTTGCTAGATTAATAAAACATTTAAAAAATAAATTTTAAATTTCAACATATACAGTACTTTTTACAAATAAATACTCGAAGTATGTATTCAATAGGTTATATTATACTGAATAAAACCATAGTTACTTTCACTACTTATAATAATCATGAAATCTTTATTTTGTAAAATAGTTTGTTTTAAATGTTTCAAAGGGAATATTTTAAATACTATTTTATATGTGTTAATTATATTGTTTTAACAATATGGTAAAATTTTATTCCAAATACAGTTATCCATATAAGAATAAAGTTTTAATTATATAAATTTCGAAAATTAATTATTCAAATGTCCTAGAACTGTTAGTTAGTATTTATAATAATTTTCACTTTCAATTATTATAAGAATAAAGTGTATTTTTGCAAATGTTTGCCATATGAAAAATTAATATATTTAAAGCTTTTAATTAATATCAAATGTCCTAGAACTGTTAGTTAGTATTTATAATAATTTTCACTTTCAATTATTATAAGAATAAAGTGTATTTTTGCAAATGTTTGCCATATGGTACAATTTAATTACTGTATTAAACTTAAAAACGATTTAATACCAAAAGACTTAGTAAAGTTAAAACTAATTTGTGAAATGACAATGTTTCAAAATAAAGTGATTCAAAATTTATTGAATAAACAATTCTTAAAATTGCTTTTTATAATAAGCGTGACTCTCGTGACTATAAATTTAATTTATAACACAATCGAAGTGACAAATAACGAGACTATTAGTGAAGAACAATATTTATTGCAAACTATCCGACAATTAGAAGACGAAAATAATGCATTCAAATCAAAACTATTAGAAATAAATATTAAGTTAAATGATACGGACCTTACAAATAATGTGAACAATATTTTGTTTGATTCATGTCTTCCAACCATTGACTACGAGAAAAGTCGGCGAAGAATAGTACAAAATATAAATCATCTCTGGATGTACTTGATGAATGAATTAAACTCAACACAAATTAAATATGTGTATGATTTAAGATTAAATTTATTGACAGATTTGGATGTCGTTAGCAAACGTGACCATCGATGGCGTCAAATGAAATTGAATTCATTACAGACTTTAATACAAGAAACCGTTAAAAGACTACAAAACCCTATGGATTGTAATGCAGCAAAAAAGTTTGTCTATAATATGGCCATTGATGGTGGATTTGGTTACCTCGCCCACCACGTCGTCCATATGTTTATGCTGTCGATAGCACACAACCGGACTTTCATTTATAAACCAGGTGAAAGATTTCAAGATAAATATTTAAAAATGTTTTTCCAACCATTAAGTGAGAATTGTTTGAATTCTGAGCGACAAAACAAAACAAAATTTGGGCCCAAAATTGACAAGAATTATGTTCAACTAACCAATTATGGTGAGAAATACGATAAACCTATTATTCCGTCAAAAATATCAAAAGATTTATTGCTATTAACTGATGAGCCATTGTTGCTCTACATTGGAAATATTGTTAAGTATATCATGCGTCCAAATAATAAATATCAAAATATTATATCAATGTTTAAAACCAAAATACAATTTATCCGTCCGATTGTGGGAATACATGTGCGAAGAACTGATAAATTAATCAAAGAAGCGAAGTATCATTCATTGGATGAGTACATGACATATGTTGAGGACTTTTACAATAAAATAGATTTTAAAAATGAAAGAAATTCTGTGAATAAAAGTGTTGAAAGAGTGGTGTATTTAGCGACCGACGAGCCAAATGTGTGGACACATGAAATCAAGCCATATATCGAAAGGGGATATATTTTCAAAGGAGATATCAATTTCTCCAAAAGAGCACAGAATTTGAAGATTAGGAATAACGATGAATCCAAACAAGACTTACTAAATGATATCCTAATACTAAGTGAATGCGATTATGTTGTCTGTACATTAAGTTCAAATGTTTGTCGTTTTGCCATTGAATTAATGCAAAGTAGAGCTCAAAGTAACGCTGACTTATTGAATGCCTTTCAATCACTGGACAAAGAATATTATTTTGCTCCGAGTAGAGTACATAATGCAATGATTGCTATAAATAGTAATCAACACAAAACTAACAACGAATTAGACCTCAAAGTTGGAGATGTGATTTCAAATAAAGGTAAAGCGTTTTTATTATTTAATCATTTATATCTGTATGGATATAATATCAACTCAAAGAAAAAAGGATTTTTCCCCACATTTAAAGTCGAACCATATATCGAAACAAACAATAATTCAGTGTTTGAATTAAAATAATTATTATCAATTGTTTATTTTGGGCATATATTATATTATAATTATAAAAGAATGTACAAATAAACTTAAATATATTAATTTTAAAAATAAAATTTTGCTAATATATAACCAAATGTTAAAATATACTTTCTAATTGGCACAATAATTTAGATGTAATACAGGTTCAATAGTATTAACTAATCAAATGATGGGTAATGTTGTGGGACTTGAGAGATGCCTCCCGGGAGATAGAAATACTTTGAATCTAATGAATGAACGGCTTGTGAATTATGGATTGAATTATTTCGTCGACTTAACATTAATTGCAATGCGAGTCGACATACATTTGAGGACAGAGTGCACACAATGTAATCGCATTCACTCAACAGTAATGACTCGACTATTAAATCGCGGGTCGACTCATAACTGTATCGGTAATTATTGTAGGCTTTCAGCGAGTGTTTGATGTCTCCCTTCACTACAAATTGTCGCTTAATATAAGGAATTAATTCATTGATCCATACGTTTGGCTCATCAGTCGCCAAATACACAACTTTTTCAATTGTTTTGTTTACAGAATTTTGCAGATTCTGTATCTCAAGCATATTGTAATACTTGTCCACATATGACATGTACTCATCCAACATATGATAATTTGCTTCACTAATCTTATCTGTCCGTCGCACATGTATCCCAACGATCGGGTGTTTGATTTGAAGTCTGTGTTTGTAATTATCATAATATCGGCTCAACTCGTCTGTCGGACGCATTAAATACTTTAATAGAAATCCTATGAATAGAGCGAAGGGTTCAGTACTAAGTGCTCGCAAACTGTGGGATATTTGTCGCGGAATCGAAAGTTTCTGGTGATAATAGATATTATCTAGAAATGGATAGTAAAACACCTGATAATTATTATAATAATTAGTGACATTCCATGTGGTGCTGTTGTGTCCAATCCAGTCCAAACATGTCTGGCTAATGGGCTTAAAATATTTGCTTAAATAGAAAGTGTGCCTATTTTTAGGGGTTGGCTTCAAGATGAGGGTGCGATTGAGCTGAAGTGCTTTCACCAGACAGTAGGCATAGTGATGGAGAGTACACCCAAAACCACAAACCAAGTCCATTATGCAAACCAACTTTCTGGCTTCACTACAATTCTGTGGATTCTGTAGTCTTTTTAGTTTATTCTCTATTAAAGTATTTAATTCCTCAATAGAATCCTCTCTTTTCCATGATTTTGACAATTCTGTGATAATAACAGTACAGTATAATAGCAATTAAAAATTATTTTTATATACTGACACTTTTATTTATTAGTTACCAACGAGTAAGATCATAAATAAAATATTCTAATTATAATGTTAATTATACAAACCAGATTTGCTAACCTTTATGTTTAGCTAAACTATTGTCTACTATTGATATATGAATATTTAAAAATATAACAAACATTACAAATACAATAGTTATAAATAATAATAAAGTTAATATAATATCCTTTTTAAGACACTTTATATTCATTTTAATTTGATTTGATGTTTCTATTTATACTTCATTTGAATGAAAGGAAATTGTTATTCACATTAATATACATTTGAAATTACTTTTATAATCAAATCAATTTCAGAAATATAACCAAGGTCTTATTGTATGTCGGTTAAAATGAAATTCCTTAAAATACAATTGATATGACATGACTTATTTCAATAAATAGTAATATTGAAACAGGTCTTTATGTGCAAATAGTGTGTTCAAATAATGATCAAGTACCATTAACAAAATCAATCAGACTAGTTGTTCTATGACTTAGCAATGCAAAGTTTGCATTCATGTTTGCCATTAATACTGTACAGTATAATTAAATATCATAACATTTTATGACTATAGTCTATTTATGTGATCTAATTAAATATGCAACAATTTAATAAAACAAAAATTGTATTTCACTCTAAACTGAAACAAAATGCAAAACTAAGACCCAATTGAGTGGCAAAAGGGATTGCTGTCTGAACTCCACTATTAGCTCATAGACTGCTATTCATATGATATTTGAGTCCGAAATATAGATTTTGAGAGCATTTCGTGTCATTTGGATGAGAGAGAGGTTTGTCTTGTTTTCGATACACATATTCAGAGTCAATGAACTGCACGTTATGTCACAACCACTANATTTCGTGTCATTTGGATGAGAGAGAGGTTTGTCTTGTTTTCGATACACATATTCAGAGTCAATGAACTGCACGTTATGTCACAACCACTACAACTCCGACACCCATTTGGTGGCCAACTATGAGACCCACCATTCACTCCATACACAACACATTCACCACTCAAACCTCACCCAAACCTAAACCCAAAAGAATGGCCAAAATGAACCCAAAACCCAAACCCAACGCCAGAAAGTGGTTCAACAAACTTGGTTTCAAAGTGCGATCAGTTGTGGACGTAATTTGTGGTCATATATAGAGTGAAGTGTTTTGTTGTCAACAAAATGTGTTTCAAAGACAATACAAAAGGCTTTTAAATTGAACGCTAAGCTCGCAAACAGTGCACAACTTGTGACCACTTTTGTGGCCAATAATCAGCGCCTGTGAGCCACGGATCAGATCGCAAACCTCGCGCACAACATGTCGGACACCGACGCCGATCACCACAAACGGATCCGGAGTCCAGTACTTCCGCAATACGTGGAAGTGTTTGACACGGAGTCCAAAGACAGATACCAGACGTTGACCCAAAAGATACCATTGGTGTCGTTGATGTCCTCATCGGTGGACACAAATAAGATGACCTCAACTGAGCTGCGACTGAGACGATGGTTCAAATGCACGCAATTTGAGGGCAAGTGTTTCGCCACAAGAAATACTTGTCACCAGTTTTTGGCACATTTGGCGGACAAACACCCGGACACCAGACTCTTCTGCCTCTACTGCAGCCCTATCTCCGGACCCGACCCTAAGAAGTACTTCACGCACGAGAAGCTGGTAATCATTGTCACCACTGACACCATCGCTGCCATTGTCTTGAGATTCATGTCTTTCAAAACGGGTTTTCATTTGAGTTTTGGGTTGAGATTTAAATTTATCGCATTTTATAGTCCTTTTGCTGCTCTTACGGACCCTTTTGTTAGCATTACTCTAATTAGTGCTATAAAACAAAAGGGACCAAATATTTGCTTATTATTCAATGAAAGACTAATAATTTAAATTTAGTTATAAATCTACTTTTAATCCCATTTTTAAGCATAAATTAATGTTTAGGTTAACACTCTATGTATTAGTTTAGCTGTTGTGTGACTGTCACTCAAATTGTCAATTTATGAGCAATTAATTTGATGTATTAATGGATGTGATTGTGATGTATAGGTGGAGCACATCCGGTCGGAGCACTGTTACCGTCAATATCAGTGCAATCTATGTCTGTACCGGTCTATCAGTGTGGAGCACATTGTGATCCATCAACAGTCTGTCCATTCGCGCAACTTTGAGGTGACTGTCGCTCAGACGGAGACCGATGAGGAGTCGCACAAAGACACCACTCCTCACAACCAGCAGACCATCAAAGAGTGTAAAGTCATTGAATGCACGCAATTGGCCGACACAGCCGTTCCCGACGCCGACCACTACTTCGAGAACTACAAACACAAGCGACTGAATGGCGAACTCAATGCCTATCAGTGTCTGTACTGTCCGTATTTGGACACAAGCAAAGAGGAACTGTATGCACACTGCGTGGCCGCTCACCCCGACTTTCCCATACTTATCTACACCGGTATTAACGCCAGACATTCGGTGAATGGCGACAAAGACGACAATGAGATGAGCGAAGCCATCATGAAGTCGAAGACCGCTAAGAAGCGATCGTTTGACGGTTTGTGGCATTGTTTTCGTGAAATTTGGTCTAAATTTTAATTTGAATTTTGTTTTGCAAAACACTTTAGAGTCGTTCAGCGACTCGGATGTCACCACCAATGGTGTGGTCGACACCTATGAGTTCGACATCTGGACAGAGAGTGAAGACGAGGATATGTTGCTGTCAGAGGACGACCTCTCGTCGGACGGTCTGGTGAGTGAAGAGGCTGTGGCCGCAGAGCCGGCGCCCAAACGTCAGCGAACAGAACCCGACTCGTCGTCCAGACACAGAATCCAAGACATCCTAAGATCTGGAACACCAGCCTTTGTGGCCAATCGCACACTACGGCAGTCATACTATTTGGCGGCCGCTTTGTCTGCACTACTGGCCCTTTATTTCTCTGCTGTAGTACTGAGACGTTAAATGAATTTTAGTGTTATTTTTTGGTTGTTTTATGTGTTGTTTTAATTTAAATACAAGGTTTAGGTATTGTTTTTACGGTATTTATCTCTACTTTAATTGTTTTTGACATTTTTTAGATAATTATGACTTAATTTTATTGTAACTATAACCGGGTTTTCTTGAGCACAATATATTTGACATAATATTCCACATAATATTTGACACAAACTTTTAATCAAATCTTTCAATCCTTTAAAATACTCTTCACTAGTCTTTTGGATCAAAAGTATAATCACATAATCATTGAATGAAAAAATTGAAAAATACCAAAAAACTTCATACAAATGTTTCAAATATTAATAATTTTTATTTTATTGTTTTTTACATTACATTACGAATTATATATTTTAAACTCTTTTGTTTTTTGAATGACAAAGTTTTTTGAATGAAAGTACCGTATATTCTGATAGTCATTATAAGTAATACCGTAATGAATGAAAGAATTATGAATTATTGATTGGTTTTTACAATAATATAATTAAAATTCTTGTGAATGCAGTGAATTTTACTCATAAAATATATCCATAGTTTTCGTATGTTTTTTATTCGTATATTTAATAAATAGTTTTAAATAATTTTATCATAATTTATATCGTGTGTGGCATTTGGTTAAATTAAATACAGTATATTATATACCCATTTGTAGAATATTGCATAAATATTGCAGTATATTTCCAAACCGTTTGGTTACTAATGTAATAATTTTTAACGTGTGTATTGAAATTGACCACAATTTAAGTACAAAAAACATTTTTGTATTATTCTGTGTATTTTGAATCTCTTGTTTAGAATAACAGTATTTGTCTCCCAAACTGATTTGTATTTCATTACATTTTTATATTAATAAATTTTTTTGAACATTCAGTACTAGTAATTGTGTAAACAATATTTGCAATCAATAAGTGTCTTAAAGCAAACATTGGTATTATTGGCGATAAATACATGTATATCTCATTTATAAGATTATTACAGCAATTAGATAAACCTTTGCTAAGAATGCCGCCAATAATTACCGCATGTTATAAATATAATTTAACCAATAATTATCAAAAGCCTGCCCTAACTCCTATGTCGCCCTTTAAACTTATTAAACAATTTTATTTTTTAAAATAATTTTTTAGATAATAAATGAAAAATCAAAATTGTATTTCAAGGTGTGATAGGAAATCAGTGTAATATGAAAAGTAACCATAAAATAAGAGGTCTTACGAGCGCTTAAATTCATAATAAAATATTGAATGCATATGTGTTTTGAAGGGTTCATCGACTCATCGATAAACGTAATATTTATTACATTAAACTCATTGCTTATGTGCTGTACTTAACATTAGATTTATTGCAGACATTAGATAAATATTTTCCGAGAAAAATGAAACTTCAATTATTTACATATCTATTAAGTTTGATAATAACTTTGTTTTTTATAGTTTTATCGGCTGTTGAGTGCAGTGATCAGCAAAATGACGTCAATTCTGTGTCGACTAAACCCAGTGGTATGTATGACAAGAATATTCTTCAATTCAAATCTACTTAAATAGAAAATTTGAAATTTTGCTCTAGCTAAGTTAGATATTCTGTATTTGTAAACTTATAAGGTTTAAGACATATTTCAAATGATATTCTTGATTATATTGTATTTTATTGTTTGAGTTTTAGCCATAATCTACGACAGAGTTGAAAAATTAAGCAGGGTCAAATGCATACCATCGCTAAACATAGACTGGAATCTATTGAATTACAAACTGATCTGGGGCATTGACTACACGCGTGATATCCGGAGGCATACACTACTTCTGACAAAAGCCGATTTGAGGCGACATTTAGACAAAATAATCTCAACTCTGATGGCTATTCAGGACAAGAAGGACTGTCTGAGTACGTCCTCCGCTAAAGACCTGATTGACGCCATCAACCATCTGAAGAATCGCATCGACAATAACCTCAACCTTTCGGTTCTCTTCAATTCCCGGACACTTCACGACAATTTGGATGAGTTTCTGCAGCTATGTCTCAGAATTGCCGGCAAAATAGGAGCCATTGTTTATCAAAAGCATTATTATGTGTAAAATAAATTCAATTCTCAAATAAAGGATTTAATTTTACGGATAGATATTATTGAATTTAATCGGAAATATAGAGATTTGATTTAATTAGAAATAATAAATTTTATAAAGTAAGTCAGGAAAACAGAATCGTGTGATTTATTATTTTATTTCCTGGTTATATAAGTTTATGACAAAATTGGTTTATTTATATCAAACATTAATTAAGTCAAATAATTTTATATATTGAAATTGAAATGTTTATAATTAGAGTATAGTATATACGGTATAAATAAATGAGCTAGTAAAGCAGCATTTTCAAAGTTCAATAAAAAATTCATTATGGTACTTTGAAGCAAATAAATATTTTGACAATTATATTTTATAAATAAATTAGTGTTCTTGGAAATTTAGTTGAATTTTGATTAATTTGTTGTTATTTTATTTAATTGCTTTGAGACCTAAAGTGAATGAATTTGTTAATTGACTTAAAGTTCATTGAGTAAAACTAAAGTAATTTCAACAAAATATAATTTATATTACAGTAGTTTTAAACTATATATTGTTTAATCTATAACATAGTACAGAATCTGCACATAATGTTATAAATTGTAAACATTGTAATGTCTTTGAGGTTTTCAAATATTTGTATTCAAATCTTATATGAAAATTGAATTTTAAAATATATAAATGGCTGTAACCATATCTTGTATTGCAAACCAAACCATCAATTAGTTTAAAAAGAAATGTTTTCTAAAAGATTTGCTAAAAGATAACATAACAACAAGAAAAGGCGGAAAATATATTTAGAAAATTGAAATCAAATCACAGATAGTATTAAACCACACGAAAGGATGGCAAACATATAAGAGTGGGAGAGATATAATACAACAGATTTTAAACCTAAAATCATATGTCTTTCGCTTGAAATTAATGTCTTATTTGATTACATACATTACCACAAATCTTCTCTCTCTCTCTCTCTCTCTCTCTCTCTCTCTCACTCACTCTCTCGAAATAAATTATTTTAGTATATTAGTATATTATACACAAATTTCAAATATAAAGTTTTAAAGATACTTTTAACCTATATGTCAAAATTTTAAACTAAACTAAAATTACAAAATTCAATTTACAATATCAAATATTTTAGAAAATACTCACAACATTTTAATTACAGTATTTCTCAATACAATAACTATAGTTTATAATTATAAATATTTTCTTATTATTTTATAGTGTCAAAAATAATTATAGCATTATTATTATAATTTTTCAATGTGAAGATTTAAAAAAGTTATTAGTAACCAAAGGTATTTTTTGCATTGATTTGATATACGATAGAATTATAAATCTTTTTGCTTTCAATAATCTTTTGTTTTTTGGTCTAATTTTAAGATGAATTCCTTATGGATTTGAATGATTCGACTCCAGTATTAAAGGATAGACTCTGTTATGGAGTGAATAATAGACAGTTAAAGCTATAAATTGATAGATAAAGGGAAAGTCAATAAAAATAATTTAATTTGAAGTCAATTGTATGCAATTTATATGATGCCAAAAATTCAATACAGTTAATATTGTGCTCAGTACTATATATCTCTATTTATACGAAAATCCAATATAATATAAAATTCTCTATATTTATATATAATTTTGAATCTCAAGTATTCAATCAGATTGAGTGCATTCACCGATTTTTAGTCCTTTTTGTTATGCATTTGAAAATCCTCTTTATATAGTGTCTGGTCGTCGAGATTCTTGAATGCAATGAAATGTTTTGTGCATTCATTTCAGTCATTCATTACATTCCGATCCCTTTTATTATAAAACTACAAAAATTTTCAATCTAATTCACTTCAGACTTTCTAAACAGTATATTTTGAGTTCATAATTTTTGTGCATCTGATTGTCATTTAATATATGGTAAATGAGTTCATAAATATATAACTACTTTTGTGACACAAATATTAATGTCTTATTCGCTGTGTTTCCGCTTCTAATTTGCTATTGAATGGGCTTTTCATATATTCATTGCTTTATTATGAATAGTATTTTCATTTTAATATTAATAACACAAAATTAATATTCAGATTTGAATTTTATAATTAATTGCAACAGTAATTACTTTTACAAAAATTGTAAGCTAGTAAAAACAATATTTGAATTTCCCTTAATGTTAAATTAAAATTTTTATTTTAATTTGTTTTTGTAATTTTTATATTTATTATAATTTATTGAATAAAAAATGCAAGCACAATATTAAAGTTATTTAAAATAACTTGAAATAAATCTTTTATTTTATTTTATAAAATTGAAAATTATAATAAATTTTTGCAATATACAAGCATAATTTAATTAAATATTTATAACTCGAATTACATGCTCAGCGAAAATATCCCATGAAATTATTACATTTAAAGTAATATTACACCAGTGCAAAAGTATAAGAAATTATTTTGCAATTAATTTTTTTGAAAACATTAAATTTTTCAAATATCACATGTAATTGGCTCCAAAAAAACCACACAAACTGTACGGGGAATGCAATGTTTATGACCACATATACGGTGAAAAGGCAACCGAAATGTATTGTTTGCATGCAATCACTAACAACAAGAAAAACATATTTGGAAAACGAGTACAAAATTTTTCTTGTGATCTCTAAACACAACTCAAATACAGGAGGAGAAGAAATTTTTTGGTTTTTATTTTATTATTATTTGACTCGAAATTTAATGCTTGTGTTAAAGTTTTGAGCCATTTATCGATCCGAGAGACCAAACACATAGAGCACAGGGAGAGGGTATGAGAGAGAAGAAACAACACTACACTTAAGCCAAATGATATAATACGGGCTCTAAAAATCATCGATCGTTTGATTGCCTTAAATTATATTTTAGTTTTTAAGGGCTTCTCTTAAAATGAGATGAGA